CCGGAGTGTTTTCCGGCGTATCCCCTCCGACGGTCTAGTCAGTCTTTGAGTGAGAGAGAGGAAGGAGAAAACACTGAGAAGGATATATTGTAGTAGAGAGTTTGTGATTTCTTTTTTTCCTCTTGCCTTTTGCAAGGAGTACTTATACCTTAAAAACTCATGATTGCTGTCAGTGTGGTCAGTAGGTGATCATTAGGTGCAGGTTGCGTGTGCATTGATTCTGATGAGGAATGTCTTCTCTAATTGACTGCTCGGGGTCCCGAGCAATTAATGTCGAGTCGTCGGGATGCCGACGGTACAATATGCTCCTCTCGGAGAGGATGCAATAAATGCTATGTAATAGGAGTATTTATTGCCTTTCACTTCCGAGCCTTACCCTCATTGAATGCGATCTCATCGAGGGAATGGTGCAATTAATTGTTTGCTTTCCCCAAGCGCGTGTCAGCAACAGCATGCGGTTTGTCTGTTTTTGATGTGATATCATATGCCACGCGTCCATCACGTATTAGCTATGACCTCTGTATTCCAGTATGTTCTGACATTACTTGTGTAAGACGAGGTCATGATGAATAGTCTAGACTGGCATAGGCTGATGACCCGTACGTCAGTAGCTTTATCCTGGAGTAGAGGAAGCGTCCAGGACGGAGTAACTCTCGGCACCGAGGAAAGGCTCACCTCGGGGACCGAGGGTGATATGTTTCCGAGGTACATGGGTGACCGAGAACACGTGTTGTTGTATAATACACCGAATGCATGATCCTATATGAGAGGTACCTCGGGGGCGAGGACACTCGTTGCCGATGGTGCTTAAATCCGAGCAACACTGTTCCAGCAAACCCGAGGACACGTGTCTTCATCATAGGGCTTTTCAGAAGAGTCCCATCAGTTTTCTTTGTTCTTGCTCAATGTGGAACCATGTAGGATCATTGGATTTATCACTGGGTAAGCTTCTTTCTTTACTCTACCCAGTTCGTTTTTTCCTTGGTTTTACATTTTTTATTTGACTATGAGTAATTTTATTTGGACCTAAAAATCTGACATAATGATGTGGTTTCAGTGAAATCATTGGATCAACACCAAGTTTAAATGTTTAATGGAGTCTACAGTGAATCCAAAGGTTACAATAAATTAAGTCAGCATAATTATCAATAAATTAGGTCCCAATAAGATTGCCCTTTATTATTTGTGTTCATCACATTTTAAACCTTCAAGAACAAAGAAAAAAAGAGGACCAATAACTAATTTAGCTAAATTGTACTTGACAGTAGAGAATTTTGTCGGGCCATGGGCTAAAATCTCTGGGCCTTTGTCCAATGTTCACAGCCCATATGGGGTGGGGATTTAGATTTGGGTTGTAGGGAGGGCGGTACCTCCCCCATAACTTATTAGGGCAAAAGTCCATTTTTTAAAATATTTGGGATAGAAGAACATCTCTTAAAAAAAAGACATAAAAACCTTTTTTTATATGAGGAAGACAAATAGACCATCGGTTTTGGGAATCAATATCGTTAATTCCTTGACATCAGTTACCAAAGAGCCATTAATGACAATATCAAAAACTAACCATTTCCTAAATCTTTTTGAATTCCAAAGAATATGTCATTTCATTAGTTACCATCAAAGCTTCAATATTTGTCTGACAAATATTCATCATCAGTTTCAAGCATATCTTCATCACCAATTCATCACAAGTTCAAGCTACTATTGTATGGTCGCCGAATTTTGATTTTTTCGAATGTNATCAGTTCAAGCATATCTTCATCACCAATTCATCACAAGTTCAAGCTACTATTGTATGGTCGCCGGATTTTGATTTTTTCGAATCTATTCGCCGAAAATCTTTGTGGTTCTTCGTTGGAAATATATGCGGTACTTCGCAGGATTATTTGAGTTCCTCTTTTCTAACGGTATGAATTTTTACCATTTACATTTTTTTTGTTGTTTAATACTTGAAAAATCCCCAAAGTAGAAAGAGAAAAGCCCTAATTTAGTTGAAAAAATAAGTATTGCTTTATTTTGCCGAATGTTTTTTTGCGAATATTGAGTTTGGATTCAATGGGTCA